CCAGCCAACCAGAGAAAACTTAAGAGATTAAAAACCAAGCTTGAGTAACACTAACAAACCGTGTATGGTTTTGATTGGCAGTTGTGGCCAATGCTGTCGATGCCCCCCGCCCCTTGGGCCATCTGAGCTCCCAGAGCTCCCCTGCCCAGTACAGTTTCCGAAGGTTGGCAGCTTCCCTGCTCAGGTGCCTGTGTCCCTCATCTCCCACTGAGGACTCCTCTGGCATTTGGGCACGTGCTTGCCTGCCAACAGGTGCAACCTGTAAGTGTGGCAAGGTTAGCCCTCTACCAGTAGAGGGTGAGTCCTTGGATAAATGCCCCAGTCTCCAGGTCTTCCAGGGTTGGGGATTCTGAGGTATGTTTTACACAGTTTCTCAGCAGATTTCAGAACTCTTATAACGAGGAGAAGCATTATTTCGTGTTTTTTTAAAAAGGAAGCTGGTCGTTGATATTTATATTCAAGCATTAGGAAATTTGGACTAATATTACCTATCAGGATAAAAGAGCTTTTTGTTTCATGTTGGGAACCTTACTACTGTGAAAAAGATTATCTCCTATGTCGTAGCTCAGATCCCCCAAGAGCAGACCTTGAGACAAGCACTTGGAAGCAGTTGTGTTACTTGGGGAAAGGGAACACTTTAGAAGGTTGGGTTAGAGCGAGGCAGGAAGAGATCGCAAATATATTCTTTATGCATCACTAATTGTTTTACATGTTACATGCGTTGGTAATTTAAAAATATCTGTTAAAGAAAACATAAAAAAGCTTTTTAAAAAAATCTTAAAAACGACTTGCTGGACATGTCTATGGATGTTCCACCAATATCTCAGACTCATCTCTAGAACCCAGCCAGCATTATTTTATAGTATATCTTTGAATCTGCCAAAGGACACATCCATAATGCATGAACATAGACTTATAAATATCCAGATTTCTTTCAGTTTGTGACATTAGTGATGTTAAAAGTCCAAATCATGCAAGGGCCATTCAAAAATACTGACTGCACACCTGCTGTTGGTCAGGCAGCATATCAGGTGCTGGAGATAGAGTGGTGAATAACGTAACAACACAACATGTGTTCTGCCCTTGCGCTCTAGAGAGGAAGACAAAATGAAAAGGTAAAGACATCTGTGATTATAAATTAAAGAGCTATAAAGAGAATGAACAGGATGGTCTGCAATATGGTGACCTATTTTAAGTGGATGGGCAGGAAAATCATCTGTGAGAAGAAGATCTTTCAACTGAGACTGAAGAAAGAGAGGAATCATGTGAGAAGTCAGAGGTTGTGCGTTCAGGCAGAGGGAACAATATGGGCAAGGGCACAGAGAGTGAAAAAAACCTTGATGCACTTAAGAAAAGCCAGTGTGAGCTGGCAATGTAGTCAGAGGCCAGATCAAAGAGGCCAGTCCTTGGAGGCCACGTTAAGTGTGGTTTGTACTAGAAGAGCATGGGAAACTATTTAAAGGATTTAAGCAGGGACTTCCCTGGTGGTCCAGTAGTAAAGAATCCACCTTTAATGCAGGGGATGCGGGTTCGATCCCTGGTCAGGGAATTAAGATCCCACATACCGCAGGGCAACTAAGCCTGCGAGCCACAACTACTGAGCTCATGCGCCTCAACTAGAGCTCATGTAAAACTACAGAGGCCATGGGCCCTGGAGCCTGAGCACCACAACTAGAGAGAAGCCCACGCACCACAATGAAGAGCCTGCGTGCTGCAACGGAAGATGCCCCATGCCGCAACTAAGACGCGACACAGCCAAAATAAATAAATAAATAATAAGTCTTTAAAAAAGAAAAAGGAATTAAACAAGAGAATGGCCTGCATGACTTGATTTAGAATTCTAAAAATTCACTTTAGCTTCTATGTAGAAAATCGATGATGTGGGGATGGGATGAATAGGGAGATCAGGTCTTGGATTACTGAACAGCTCAGATGAGATTACCGTACTTGAAAGAGGGTAGTAGCAGGGCAGGAGAAGCTCATTAAACCGATGAGCTGGAGATATATTCTGAAGGTCCATCAATAGAATTTAATTACTGATGGGTTAGATGCGGGGAATAGAGAGAGAGAGGGGACTCAGAATTACTTTCCAAGTTTCTGGTCTGAACAACCGGACAGATGGAGTGCTGTTTTTGGGAAAGAAAGATTGAGTGGAGGAATAGTTGAGATACGGGTCAGAATTCAGTGTTAGACATGTTACGTGCACCATGCCCAGTAGACATCCAAGTAGAGATGTCAGGTAGGCAGTAAAACATATGGGTCTGGAGCTGAGAAGAGAGGTCCGGGCCAGAGACACAAACTGGGGAATCATGGTGGTATTTAGTGGGTTATTTAGTTGGTATTTAAAGATACAGGAAATTGGTTAGAGCTCTTAAGAAGGAGAGAAAGAGAAGGAAAGAGGGCTCAGAATGGAGCCGTAGGCCTTTCCGACACTTAGGGTGGAGGGAAAGAAGCCAGCAAAGGAAACTCGGAGTGGCCAGATAGAAAGGAGGGAAGGGCTCAAAAAGTGTCATGAAAAGAGAGCCTTTCAAGGAGAAATGCTCATTCTTGATAACAGCTGAGAAATTGGGTGAGCCCATATTAGATCCTCTCTACTGGGGAGGACTTCTTACCAAGGATAGAAATCACTTGTATTTTGTCTTTTATTTGAGACCTTAACGCATCTCCTAGCACACAGTGGGCACTTGAAACATATTAATCAAATGACACGTTAATTGAATGACTGAATATTTTGGTTCAGTTGAGAGTGAGTGATAGGCATAAGAAGTTTTAAAATGTCTTTCTGTTCTCCTGCCTACATGCTCTCCACCCCCCACCTGATTCTCACTCTTGCCTGCAAAAGTAATTGATCGGGGTAATAGCAGTTATCTTCAGGCTCTGTAATAGCAATGTTAAATACCCTTTATTTCTCCCAATTTAGGAAACATGGACTGTTCTCTAAGCCTTGGAGGAAGAAAATTCGGGGCGACCATAGTGTATGAGATCATAAAGGGTGGCTGTTTCTGCAAATGTAGTGAAATCATAACCATAACGACCATCACAGAAATTAGGTCCTGCCCTATGAAGTGCTCTACTGGCCACTCTCCTCTTAGTTATCCTGTGAAAGAATTGTGTTGAGTGGATTTCATTGTATAAGAATTTGGTGAAAGGAGGGAAAGAAAGAGGTAGGGGTTCAGATCAGTGGCTCTGACGCTGCCAGTGCCTGGAGGGTGTGTGAGGGCTTCTGAAACCCGCAGCTGATCCAGACCAGTTCTCCAACAGCCTCCTTTTAGCTCCAGCATAAACACTCCTAGCCAGGCTTGGGAGGTTCACAGCGTGTCCCTGCCTCCCTACTCAGCCTCATATTGTACGATCCTGTGTGGGAGCCGCTAACTGCTCTAGCCAAGACCACCTCTTCTGCTTCCTCTGCCTGGCCCTGCTCGCCCCGTCCCGCATCCCTCCTCTCAAAGTGCTTAGCCTAACAACCCTCCTTGTCCTTCAACTCTAACTGTCCCTAAAGCATCCAGAACTTTCTCTAGTTAGTAAATGTTTGTCTACCACTTGGCTGAAAATTTTCCTGAAAGCTTGTCCTGCCTTGTTCACCGTGGCATCCTGTGGACCTAGCAAAGTGCCTGCGCAATGAATATGCTGAGTAAATGAACAAGTATTTCAATTACGTGTCTGCCTTTACAACTTCAGAGGTGCTATTTCAGTATGGTTTTAATGCACATGAGCACACACACACCATTTGATGAATGCTGTTTCTTTCTTTTATTCCATACAGTAATAATTAATAACTGTACCTGCATCTCCTGCAAATACCAGCCTAATTATCTATGGCTGTCTCTGGTTGCTCTAGAAAGAAACCTGAGGCACACCTGGATTAATTAGGACGAGAATCAAACCCAGTTCAGGTGTGTTGTGCTGTGGGTCCCCAGCGCATTTTCAGAGGCTCATTATGGTGTCTGACTCTTGACCTCAGCTGGGGCTAAGCCCTGATGGCAGGTGTATCCGGTGGAACTGAGTGGATGCGTGGAAAGGGGGAGCATCAAGAACCGGAGGGAGGAATCCGTTGAAGTGAGGCAAGTCACGGTGCTTCCTTAACCCAGACTCGCCCTTGGACTCAGCAACAACCTAAACTGCCTGCCTGTGCCTTTCAGCTCGCGCCACTGCTCCTCAAGCAAACAGCCCGGACTTAAGAGGAAGTATGGGGAGGAAGGAAGTGGGCATAGAAGGGTGTAGGGTTCTGAGTCTTGAAGTGATACACCATAACGTCTTTATCGGGCGCCTTCAGGGAGAGCGCTTTGTGTTTACTTTGTGGCTCCCCAGTGGTTGCTTATGTCCCCAAAATCAGGTATACCGCTTAACTGTCAACGAAAGATCAGGACAGTTCCCCGCCGCAGTCCCTCCCGGCGCCCAGGTTTGTGGCCGGCCTTTGGGCCACTCCGGGCAGGCCGAGGAGCCTCTGCGTTCATAGTGGGGCGCGCGCGGGTCGGATTGGGGCCACGTCGCTAACATCTAGGCCTCAATCACGGATAAAAGGCGAAGCCCCGGACCCCTTCCGGCTCCACTCTTGCAGTCCCGGGAGCCCGGAGTCATCCCGTGCTCCGGGACTAGGAGGCCCCGGCCTGGACGCGCGTTCTGCGCAGCCAAGGTCCCCTAGCGCCCCCTACAGTCTCACGCGCGGGGAGACGGCATCGGGTCCTGCGCCTCCGCACTGCGCCCGGGACCCCACCCAGCGGCCCGCGCCCCGGGACCACGTGAGCACCGCACCTCCAGACTGCAGAAACGGGGCGTGGGGGCCGGCGGGCGCGCAGCATCCCCGGCCACCTCTGATCGCTCCGCCCGCCGTTGCCTGACTTCCCCTCCCTCCCTCTGTCCCTCCCCCGCCCCCCCCCCCCCGCCCGCCCGCCCGCCCGCCCTCCTGCCGGCGCCGGCCACGCTGAGCCTCTTCTCTTGGGGCGCTCTTCCCCTTGGCCGACCGTCTCATCCCGCGCAACTTTGGGACGGACAGTGGCCGTTTGGTGTTGAATGTTCCCCTCGGAGAGCGCATGGCTGCGGAAGCGAGGTGCGGGCCGGGCCCCCGAGGGGCCGCCGTATGGGAGGCGGTGATGCTACTGCTGTGCGTGGGAGTCCCGACCGGGCGCCCCTACAACGTGGACACCGAGAGCGCAATGGTTTACAAGGGCCCCGCCGACACCCTGTTCGGCTACTCGGTGGTGCTGCACAGCCACGGGGCGAACCTATGGTGAGTGGGGTCGGAGGCTGCGCCCTCGGTATCTCAGAGCGGCGAGAGAAAGGCGCCTCAGGGATTCCCTGCCCGGTTCAAACTTTCCTCCCTCCGCGGGAGGCAGGAGGGGAACCCTGCGACGGCCAGCTCGCTAGAGAAGTGCTCGGGAAACTAACTTATCTTGGGGTGGCAGCACCTGGGGTGCGTTCTGGCGCCAGGCCCTGGAGTTTGGGGTGGCGGGTTGGGTGCGCGGAGTGGTGGGCGGGGGAGTCCGTGAAGACCCGGAGTTCAGTGGGCAGCACGGCTCACGTCTGCGCGCACGTGCCCATTGCTCACTTTAGGCTCGTAGTCGGGGCGCCCACGGCCAGCTGGCTCTCCAACACTTCAGTGGTCAATCCTGGGGCGATTTACAGATGCAGGATTGGAAAGAACCCAGAGCGGACGTGCGAACAGCTCCAGCTGGGTGAGTTGGACCTGGGGCCGGGAGCTAGTGACCCACTCCCCCCAACACACACACACACACACACACACACACACACACTTGTGAGCCCCACGGTAGCAGAAGTCCTGGAAAAACTCGTGTTGCCTATTACTTCTAGTTTAAAGCGAATGATGTTCACTTAACTCTACGCCATCTTCCCTTCTAAACAAAAGTGGTCTCCTTTCTGTCAATATTGTTCTCCCTTTTGCTTATGACAATGATTGCAGTACTCTTACCAAACTACGTGGAGAAAAATTTCTTATAAAACCTTCTCCTCACCTCTCCCCTCCGCCCTCCGCCCCACCCCCACCCCCGCCCCGCAAAGTGTAAAACACATCTTAAAGTCTCTCAGCACGTTAAGGACAGGATCCAGCTAAGCCAAGACTTGAGAATTTTATTTCTAGCTTTGACCCATCAGCCTTGTTAAAGAACAGGCTAAGGGGCAGATCAGGAATAGCAGTTGGAATTGATCCCATACCCTGTCATTTAGCCCAAGGACTTTCTGAAAAAGAAAATGATACAGTTTTATTTAGATATGAAATGTAAAAGGAGAGCACAAGAAAAAATTGGCATCTCCACTGTTAATATAATTCAAATGAAGTTTAACATATAATTATTAATTTTTCTTTCCAAAAACTCCGATGTTAAATGGATACCTCTATTTGAAATCATTTCTTAGTGTCTCTTCTTAGATTTGTGACAGCTTGAAAAATGCCTTCTGATGGGGGAGAGGAGAAAGTTCATGTTTCAAAGCCAAAAGCAAATTTGCTTTGCATAGACACATGGGGGAAGAAAGGGGAACTAATATCAATTCAGACCCTATCTTGCTTCAAACATTGTTAGGAACTGCTATATATGTTTCTTGTTTTCCACAAAACACCACTGGGTCATGGTTGGCATTGTTCTTACTTTACACATGAGGACTCTATGACTCAGAGAGTTGCAAGGACTTTTTCTAAAGTTATTCAGCTAGTGAATGGAAGATGGGACCTCAAGTCAAAGTCAGGTCTGCCTGGGTCCAATGTCCAAGCCCTTTTCTTTCATGTATGCATCTTCAGTGAAAATAAAATTCAGTGACGAGTCCGATATGTTGTCTGCTGAGCTGATGAGTCATCTGTGAATGGTGAATAAAAGGTCATATTTGGTACATTTTTCCTATTTATCTTTGCTATCAATGGACTTTTGGGATAAGTTAGTTACTGAATCTTTACCACTCCCCTCCCCCCATTTTTGGTAGTAACCTTTGCTTTTTCTCAAACTGGGAAGCGGCTTCCCTTCATTGAGAACGAAGTCAAATAGAGTATGCACATAATGGAAGTTTATTTTTGACTCAGCATCCGTAAGAGTCTAGGAGTTGTCTGCAGTGTGTAGAATAGGCCCCAGCCTCTCATTAAGCATCTTCCATCCCCAAAGGCAGACTAGGAAAGCATAACATATTCACAGACCTATCCATTTGGAATAATTCTGCAAAGTATAATTTTCATTGCATGGGAGACTTGTAGGATGAATTAGGGAGCGGAGCAGACAGCCTTGATCTGCCAGAGGATCTTGACAAGGTCTCAGGAGGGAATGTTTTATTTTTGTTGTCCTGTCATAGTTTCCTGATTCATGACATTATAACTACTGGTATTTAGCTCCTACTTCCTGTCTGGAAGGGCACTGAATCTATTTCTAGATGTCGGTATTTAACTGGAAATATTCTTTCATAATATTATATAATATTTAAAATTTAAGATGATAATACCTGTCAAAATTGAAGGAAAACGTATATTGATTGGGCACGTGGAGCATAGGGGTTGACTACAGAAATATCCACAGAAAAATGTGCACGTGGTAGATGTTCACCAAACATGAATTAAGTGAAGATGTACTGGATGGATAAATGAATAAAAGCAAAGTGAAAGTTTGTCATCGACCTGATTGGTGAATAAGAGAATTAGTTAGAAATGACAAGCCAAAGGGATATTTTTAACTTTCAAATTTTTGATCAATAAAAAGGTTTCTACAGAGATGAAAGGCAAAAAGGAAGACAAGATTTCTAGTCAGTCAACTGGTTGAAACACTAATAGCTGTGGTAATAGCTATGAACATTTGCAAAAGACTTGACTGAAATTACTTCTCATATAACATTTCAAACGATATATCTTCTCTTCCTTATATGAAGAAATTGTGTGTTTCAATTCAGCACAGACTCAGAAGTAACTTGAAGCTCTAAAATAAGGGATTGAGGATAATGTCTAGAAAGGAAACACTGAAAACAATACCTCGGTAACTAAAGACATTTAAAAATTCTCAGGTTTGTGGACTATGTAGTATTCTTTATGAAGAATTTTCAAGGAAAAAATACATACACAATCGTCTATATAAGATGGATTCAGTTGTTCTGTCTCAAATATGGGTGACTATAAAATAGGCAAAATGTTTATTTTTTATCTCTATTTTCTACTTAAATCTATATCTGCATGTTATCTGTTATAGGCAGGTTGAGGTTATAAATATGGGTAGTTAATAGATGAAACCAAAAGTTAAATGTGTAAATGAAAAGGTAACAGTTGAAACACAATGAAAAATATTTTTTGTTGGCCCAACCAAAAAATCTTTATATTTTTTTAAACATCTTTATTGGAGTATAATTGCTTTACAATGGTGTGTTAGTTTCTGCTTTATAACAAAGTGAATCAGTTATACATATACATATGTTCCCATAACTCTTCCCTCTTGCATCTCCCTCCCTCCCACCCTCCCTATCCCACCCCTCTAGGTGGTCACAAAGCACCGAGCGAATCTCCCTGTGCTATGTGGCTGCTTCCCACTAGCTAGCTATTTTACGTTTGGTAGTTGTACATATGTCCATGCCACTCTCTCACTTTGTCACAGCTTACCCTTCCCCCTCCGCATATCCTCAAGTCCATTCTCTAGTAGGTCTGTGTCTTTATTCCAGTCTTAACCCTAGGATCTTCATGACATTTTTTTTTTCTTAGATTCCATATATATGTGTTAGCGTACGGTATTTGTCTTTCTCTTTCTGACTGACTTGACTCTGTATGTCAGACTCTAGGTCCTTCCACCTCACTACAAATAACTCATTTTCGTTTCTTTTTATGGCTGAGTAATATTCCATTGTATATATGTGCCACATCTTCTTTATCCATTCGTCCGATGATGGACTCTTAGGATGCTTCCATCTCCTGGCTATTGTAAATAGAGCTGCAATGAACATTTTGGTACATGACTCTTTTTGAATTATGGTTTTCTCAGGGTATATGTCCAGTGGTGGGATTGCTGGGTCATATGGTAGTTCTACGGGTAGTTTTTTTAAGGAACCTCCATACTGTTCTCCATAGTGGCTGTGCCAATTTACATTCCCACCAGCAGTGCAAGACTGTTCCCTTTTCTCCACACCCTCTCCAGCATTTATTGTTTCTAGATTTTTTGATGATGGCCATTCTGACTGTTGTGAGGTGATACCTAATTGTGGTTTTGATTTGCATTTCTCTAATGATTAGTGATGTTGAGCATTCTTTCATGTGTTTGTTGGCAAACTGTATATCTTCTTTGGAGAAATGTCTATTTAGGTCTTCTGCCCATTCTTGGATTGGGTTGTTTCCTTTTTTGATATTGAGCTGCATGAGCTGCTTGTAAATTTTGGATATTAATCCTTTGTCAGTTGCTTTATTTGCAAATATTTCCTCCCATTCTGAGGGTTGTCTTTTGGTCTTGTTTATGGTTTCCTTTGCTGTGCAAAAGCTTTGAAGTTTCATTAGGTCCCATTTGTTTATTTTTGTTTTTATTTCCATTTCTCTAGGAGGTGGGTCAAAAAGGATCTTGCTGTGATTTATGTCATAGAGTGTTCTGCCTATGTTTTCCTCTAAGAGTTTGAGAGTTTCTGGCCTTACATTTAGGTCTTTAATCCATTTTGAGTTTATTTTTGAGTATGGTGTTAGGGAGTGTTCTAATCTCATACTTTTACATGTAGCTGTCCAGTTTTCCCAGCACCACTTATTGAAGAGGCTGTCTTTTTTCCACTGTACATTCCTGCCTCCTTTATCAAAGATAAGGTGACCATATGAGCGTGGGTTTATCTCTGGGCCTTCTATCCTGTTACATTGATCTATATTTCTGTTTTTGTGCCAGTACCATACTCTCTTGATTACTGTAGCTTTGTAGTATAATCTGAAGTCAGGGAGCCCGATTCCTCCAGCTCCATTTTTCGTTCTCAAGATTGCTTTGGCTCTTCGGGGTCTTTTGTGTTTCCAGACAAATGGTGAAATTTTTTGTTCTGGTTCTGTGAAAAATGCCAGTGGTAGTTTGATAGGGATTGCATTGAATCTGTAGATTGCTTTGGGTAGTAGAGTCATTTTCAGAATGTTGATTCTTCCAATCGAAAAACATGGTATATCTCTCCATCTATTTGTATCATCTTTAATTTCTTTCATCAGTGTCTTATAATTTTCTGCATACAGGTCTTTTGTCTCCTTAGGTAGGTTTATTCCTAGATATTTTATTCTTTTTGTTGCAGTGGTAAATGGGAGAGTTTTCTTAATTTCACTTCCAGATTTTTCATCATTAGTGTATAGGAATGCCAGAGATTTCTGTGCATTAATTTTGTATCCTGCTACTTTACCAAATTCATTGACTAGCTCTCGTTGTTTTCTGGTAGCATCTTTAGGATTCTCTGTGTATAGTATCAGGTCATCGGTAAACAGTGACAGCTTTACTTCTCCTTTTCTGATTTGGATTCCTTTTATTTCCTTTTCTTCTCTGATTGCTGTGCCTAAAACTTCCAAAACTATGTTGAGTAAGAGTGGTGAGAGTGGGCAACCTTGTCTTGTCCCTGATCTTAGTGGAAATGGTTTCAGTTTTTCACCATTGAGGACGATGTTGGCTGTGGGTTTGTCATATATGGCCTTTATTATGTTGAGGAAAGTTCCCTCTATGCCTACTTTCTGCAGGGTTTTTATCATAAATGGGTGTTGAATTTT